AGCAAGTAGCGAGATGTTGACTTCCTCGGCTGGAATGAAGGAGGTCATTGGTTCGATCCCAACCCTGAAGCCTGTGTGGAGTTTGCATGTTCTCCCCGTGGTAGCGTGGATTTTTATCCGGGTCCTACGCTTTTTCCCTCCACATTTAGAAACAACGTGCATTCAGATTATTTCGCTGCTATACATTTCCACATAAGCCACATCGTTGAGCGATCACTTGTGGCCAGGTCGCTTCTGAAAAAGAACCATATAGCTCAAGTGGGCATTATCTTGCAAAATAAAATAAAAATAGTTTAGGTTTAGCTGAATAATTCCACGAAAAATTGGCCCCATTTATCCATCTCAGTCACTCCACCCAGCCCTGTTGTTTTAGGCCAAGTGTGTTTTTGTTCTCGGTCATTTGCTAATCCTGACGTGTTGTGGAACGCTGCTTGTAGCCCTGCCGTTTAAGTTACTCTTGCTGATTTTTAGCTGCGATTCTTCATGCACCGTTGGGTCCCTGAACAGTAACAAAGGACATGTAATTTCACACTTGAGGAAGCAAGACTCGTTTCGCCTTGTATAAAGTTGCCGTGAAAAGCTCTGCCTGTGTCCACACGCAACACGCTGAGTCTTCAAATGTTTGCAGTAAGTTACATTGAATTTAATTATTTGTACGGTACCAAAATTTCTACGGTGATCTGCCAGGAGCCTCCGAGGCTCGCACGCTTGAATTCCACTGCAGATCATGGACTTGGTTGCTTGGCTCAAGACGAATCACTGATAATTGAATTTCAATTCCCTTATAGTAATACCGCTGTCGTGGTGCAAATGGTTAGCACACTGTACCATACTTGCAATCCAGAGTTCACAGTTGAAACAATGGGCACAATTCTTGAATCCCCCGCCCCTCATCTCTGTCCATCCAGCAGTATAAATGGGCACCACCACAGTCGATCGGTAGCTCTCATAGGGTAGGGTACAGCGTGGATTCTCTCATCTATTAGAAGTTGTCTGGCCAGCGTGGGTGAGTAGGCCAAGTCCATTTAGCAGAGGGCCCTCTCGTCACAGGTGGTGTGAGCAAGCAATCTCAGGGCTGCTCCTGCCTCTTCACCCAACAACAACCGCCATTCGCCACTAAGTGGCTGGTAACGTCACCACGACGCTTGTGCCAGGCCTAGTTATATATTTTAGTCGTGGTTTAGTGGTAATTTATTGAAGGTGGAGGGGTTACCAGCCCCTCGCACCCGTCCAGAGCCCCCATTTAGCCACTGTGGTGGTCACCCTCACCCGTACCAACCAACACTGGATAGGAGTAAGCGGCGCAGAGTTTGTAAACCGCTCAAAATGACCAGGCGACTCGTGTTCGATTCCCACGCATGGCAAACTTCACAGGTGAGTGGAATGTGTGTGCCCGTCGTGCCACCGCACTCCGCACCCATTCACCAACCCGCACTGATCAGCACGGTGAAGGATGATAACAAAACTAAATACGATAAAAAAAAACTATAATGGATGTCACAAAAGGAGGGCTTCTTCAAGCAATCGATTGACAAATATCTGTAATATATATTTTTTTACAAATATAATAATTATATAAACCCTATAAAATGTTTACACAATACCATACAATCCCATGATTCACCTTTGCCATTCAAGCTTATTGATCTATCATGACTGAAGAAGCCTAAACTATCTCGTATACCACGCAAGGCAATCTGTAATGTCCACGGGACTGTAATACCATCCAGACATTTATACTCTTCTACAATGTGACTGAGGGTTTCTTGAACTGCAGTCATATGTAATGTATATGAACGTATTTCATAATCTATCAGCAATTACATTCAAACTGTGCTACCACAGTCGAGCCTCGTGACAACGGTGGCCTTTGATTCCACTCACAAACTCTATCCGACAGCGCGGTGACGTTTTCAGCATTGAACGATCGCAAATAATCAGCTTCCCCAGCAAATCGCTCTTACAAAATCAGTATTTCTACTGGAGGAATCCGATTAACTTAAAAGCAATTTTTCACAGATGTCCCGTTAGGGAGGGTAAGAACGTTCCAACAACTATCAATACGAGTACAACGATAGGAGTGCAAAGTTCGAGAAAGGTAAACAAATTACCAAAAACACATACAAATAAAACTAAACCATCCCCATCGTACCAGGCGAAGCCCACTGAGATGTTCACTTATTTTTCAGAAGCGACGTGGCTATCACGAATGATACCGAGGGAGCACCACAGGTCTTCTGTAAGCTATTGGTGAGTGCGGTTTTCCGCGAGACCATGATCTGACAGCTATGAGGCCTCGGAGACAGGCTAACTTGAAGGAAATAAGAATGGATCGCACACGACTGCAACTTCTAAATGGTGTGCGCATTTATATGTAATGAGGATAATACAAATATATATAATTAGCAATTATTTACAAAAAAAACATTTATTATTTAAAAAATTTCAACGAGCATACGAAACTCGGTTTTGTTTTCTGGTCAACGTCAAGGATTTTGACCGAAAGGTTAAAAAAAATGCCAATTTGGTATTTTCCCCGTGCACATCAGCAAAATCGAGCGAACACTTGCAGGGCTGCACCTTTATCTTGCACATTAACAACGCAATGTTTTGTTTTACCAGGCAATGCCAACTGAGCTCTACAACTCTTTTTCATAAATCACTCGCCCACAAACGATAGCTCAACGTAGTGGCTCATCATCATCACGTGGAAATGTACAGCAGCCGAATACTCTGAACGCGTGGCGTCGATTCTAAATGTGGAGGGGAAAACCCGGAGGGCCCGGAAAAAAATCCACGCGACCATGGGGAGAGAGAGGGACACGCAAACTCCAAATATACAGCAGGCGTCAGGGTCGGGATCGAACCCGTGACCTCCTGTATACCAGGCAAGGTAGTTAACATCTCCTAGCCACCGTGATGATGATGAGAGAGAGAGACACGCAAACTACACATATACAGCAGCAGGCGTCAGGGTCGGGATTGAACCCGTGACCTCCTGCATACCAGGTTAGGTAGCTAACATCTCGCCACCGTCAACCAGCGATACGTGCCAGCTATACGTAGCAACTGAAATACTGCATTGCAATCAACATTGTCCGACATTGGGAGCGGGTTATTTTGGAGGGGGCTCAATCAGCCATAGGCATTTTCACGTCGTTTAAAAAAAAAATTCCAAGTTAGCAGGGCACGGCGGGTTGGTTGCTTATATGCGCTTTCATATTTCCATTAGTGCGAGCTGTTGAGCGATATGTAATGAGGCGAACCCATTTTTCCAAGCTGAAACTGTTTGGACTTAAGCACAAATGTTGGGTCACGACAATCATGGGATGCATTTTAGTAACATATCTCCTCTGGCTTGATTTATGTACCCGATACTGACAGCCAGTCATCCCCATCTTACACTAGTTTACCATTCTGAGTCAAGAGATGTGTCTTTTGTAAATACCAACACTGCTTTTGATATTTGCGTATATAAGATTCACACTTAACTCACTGATGTTTGCCTTAATTACGTTCCTTTTTTTATTGTCGTGTCTTTGCCTCAAATTTGACCGGCATTTTTCCGTCCGTGTCAAATAATCCATTCGGATTCCTCGCAACGCAGTGCAAACCGTCGTGTTTGAGAACACGCCAATGGAAGCGGATGCCACGGAACCACTGTCGAGATCCCGTCCAGTGACCTGGTCCACACAGAAGGGGGCAGAGCCTTTCCACGTGGCCTGAAAACTGAAATTTTATTCATTCCGTTATGGACTCGTGTTCACTGGCATGCCTCCGTTCTTTTAGATGCAAATTTCCCCACGCTCGTTCTTCATTGCAAATGAGATTTGCCACCTCAATTGGCCCTCGTTTGGTTCATTCAACACACAAAGACAAAGATCCCCCACGTAGCCTTTAAAAGACTAATCTTGATTTGAAGCGTTCGTGACTGCAGGAATCCATACTCTTTGGTTCTTTCGGTAAAGTGACGTAGGTATAGAATAAAATAAATCACGACGTATCGGGCGCAACACAAGCGTCCGTCATCAGGTGGGAAAGCATGGTCTGCTGCTGATGCAGACTGTTTTAAAAGAGACTGTCAGGTCAAGTGCTGTTAGCGAGCACCTATGAAGGGCGGAACGGTACCACGAGGGGGTGGGTGGCCAGCACCACGCCGGGCCGCCTTTGTCACACCGCACCCAGATACTCATTTGAGGCAGACAGGCATTATTTAATTGTTCAGCCATTACGAGAAGTGATGAAGACGAATACCGTGAGACTAACGTTTGCATATTCCATTGTGGAAACAAAAGTTGTGCAAACGTCTTACGACCTAAGATCAGAGTCGGTGGAGATGTGTCCGTAAGCATCGTCCACGCATCTAAGCAACGTTCAACAAATGTATCACTGAGACCAGACCACAACCTAAGTCCACCAAAATCTCGGTCACAGCATTGTTGACAGGCAATTAGCTACATAGCTTTGCCATCTGAGCCACCAATTACAAACATCTCCCCCATATAGCCTTAACAGACTGTTGGGGCAAGTGCTGTTAGTGGGTAGCACCTACGAAGGTCAGAACAGCACACGAGGGGGTGGGTTGGCCAGCATCAAGCCCGGCCGCCTTTGTCTCCCCAGTGGCGATTTTTTTACACACCACACCAGGTACTCATTTGAGGCTGAGTCGATCTAGGGGAGGCCCACGACCGGTTATAGATAATCATTACTGGTGTTGGCCATGAGAGGGAATCGAACTCGAGTCGCCGGGTTTTTAATGCAGCGCACTAACCGCTACAGTACAGATTCCCACCACACACACACACAAAGCACAGGTGCTCGGAATTATACGCACAGATAAAACCAATTTGCAGTAAAATTGACAATTTAGAAAATGACAAATAATTGTCCAGATTACCCGCGATCTTTCAATCAATTTCAATATAAACATACGGCTAAAATGTCACCAGTAAGGTAAAATTGAGGGCTCAAGATGATTAATCATATTGTGCGATTTTTATTATGTATTGATTGACATTTAAGCGGCAGTTATCGTGATTATTATTAAGCTGTATTCGTGTTTTTTTTCTTCTTCCTTCTTTTGTGAAGGCCACCCCACGTCACTATTCCTTTCTCGCCGCGTGCAGCATCACTCAAGAGCAGGCGGGGCAGGCAGGACAAGTGGGTAAGATGGAGCAAGCGATCGGCACAGGGAGAAGTCGTTTAAATCTTCTGCTGTGGTGCTAAATTATCGCACATCAGAGGCAAGCGGGTGGAGGGGGGGGGAGCATGGGACAAAGAGAGAAAAAAGTGTTGTGAAATCTAAAAAAATAAGGAAACTACGGGAACGATTGTGAGCAGGTGTGATACGAAAACAGACGAGTGAGAGTGATCATATACAACTGCGGTGCAATGTTACATATCGAACCGCCGTTAATCCGCCAAAATTAACCCCCTGACACTCCAAAGTACAGAAGGTGTGCGCGCGGTGTAACTAATTCACACGTTGGATCTTTTTTTTGTTACGATACCTCCTCGGTCTCTAGGGCGCACGAGGTATTTGGATATCCGACTGCGACTCTCCAACGCGGCCTGGTTGGGGAAATAAGGCGCGGAAAGAGAAACGGTGGCAGCCACAACGATCTCAGATTCACCGACATTGGCGATGAACTGCAGGAAATGATCGAAGGACATCACGAAGAAAGCTGCAGAGGAGGGCTGAAGATAAATGACCGCGAGAAAAATCGGAGTCACTGCCGAGAGGATAAAAAATAAAATAATTTTTGAGGAGGGAAACAATTGGGAAACGCAACGGGGGGTGTGGGCAACTCAGGGTTGTAGGCTTTTGTAGCTAATACCGCGATTCAGAATTGATATTTGGTGAGACCCCAGAGTGGGTTTTTTTTGCCACGAGAAAATCTGCTGGATTTTTTTCACTCAGTGAGAATTGTTCTTCGACTTACCCGCGGTGAGCGAAAGCAATCACCAACTGGAGCGTTAACCACGCGTGCGCGTGACACTTGTTTGACGTAGGTCAGTTGTTGAGCGCTGTCACGACGCAAATTTTTGGTCAGATCACAACGGGCCTGACCCAAATATATGTTACGAATCAGAGTATGTGCAAGGCGGACTGGGATAAATGTTTATTTTTTAAATGAAGAAGCAAGAGAGAGTAGGATGAGTGCTTAAAAAAAAAACCGGTATACTTGATCATGAAAAACTAAACATGCCAATGTCATCATAAGAACGTGTTCAATCCGTGAATATATTACCTGCTATGACAGATGATTGGAAGCGTGGACACTGACAAAGTGAATTTCACAAAAGGTGTACAACGAGACGCTGGCTGGAAGTAACACTGAGACGGGGAAAGAGGAAAACTCGCAGCGCTGAGTAACAAACACCAAATGAGGGATATAATTTTTAATGCCAAAAAAAGTAAGCCGACTCGAGCAGATGGGACGAGTTTGGTGACAGAGTGGTGGGCCAAGGGATGCAAGATTCCCAAGAGGACGACCACCGCCGAGATTTGAGTGATGGGATCAGCTCACGCACAGGCGCGCGAGAACGATTGTGGCCATAACGATGATGACGAAAGTAACCCATGGAAGTAAGGCGTAAACTGCACAACAGCACAGATTTGGTTCGTGACTAACTCTGGTCTTCGCACGTGATAGGCTCACAGGGATGACATCAGCTTTACTCTATTTAAGACTGGAATTTGAAGACTTCTTCACAATTCTGGTTAATCGCCTTTTTTGTCATCAGCCAGCGAAACGTCGTACTCGAATTGTAAACGTTGTAGGTTTACTCTCCAACGCACCGGTGTGCTGAAGTAGTCACTAATTAGCACGTTTTGTTTACGTGACAAACCTCACTAATTGGCTGTGCCGGGTGGTGGCGGCTTTAACGACGCATTTATATTTACGCGATCTAATCCCCCCCAAAAAAACAAATTATTATGCACTTACTGAATGTGGAGCCCAGGCACCGTTAGGTATACAACAACATACGCATGGCTTGAATCCTACTTGCTGTACTCTTCCATTCGGGCACCTTGCTGCCCTGCAAGTCGGAGGTCTCTTCTTTAAAATGAGCTCTCAGACACAGAGACAGACGGTCATGGCAGGCAGGCGGGCAGGCGGGCGTGCAAGAGACGTGTCTATTTCAAAATAGAGAGGGCTAAAAGAATGATATCGAGAGAGAGAGAGAGGCGTTGCATGTAAGGCGAATGCGCACATCGAGGTCTGATCTCCCCCGTCTCCCCCCCCACCAACCACACCGAGGACCACCCACCCCGGCTCGCTCGCTGCCCCACACTGCCAGCCATCCTTCATGCCTGCAAAGTGTCCGCGCTCTTGACAGGTTCCATCAACGGGGCCCCCCGATAGCGGCCATCCATCTGTGGTTGTCACCTCCGTGGGACGCGGGAGGGAGGGCCGCGAATCATCCATCGCGGCGGCTGCGGAACAACGCGCGGTGGGGGAGGGGTGTGTGTAGGTTTTCTGTCGCGGCCGCGTTCGGCACGAGCGGTGGGTGGGTGGGTGGCACCGCAAGGCGCCTTTTGATCACTCTACGTGGCACTAACAAACGCGGCCAGCATGCGCAAGTCAAAGATCCCCCATCCAATCCCCCCCCACCTCGTGTGGCCTTTGACGGAGTGTCGGGGCAAGGGCCGTTATCGTGAGTGGCGCATAGGAAGGTAGTCGCGGCTCACCGAGGGGGAGTTTGGGTGGGTCAGCATCGCGCCCGGCCGCCTTTGTCTCCCCCCAGTGGTGACTTTTTGTTTAAGCACACCGCGCCGGGTGTTCATCGACCTCGGGGAGGCCCAGCTCCAGATCAAATATTCGCGGCTGTTATTGGTCGCGAGCGGTAATTGAAGTCGGCTCGCCGTTGTGCGTTTAGTTTGTTGTCCACTCCCTGCACCTCCACTTAGCACGGTTGGCTACGTACGGTGCAAAAGAAGTTCACCATACAACGGTCACATACATAACCGCTGCACTACCGCGTGCGCGCGCACACACAGACACTTGCAACGGGCATGGCCACAATTGCATTGGGGTATTGCACCTTGACGCCCTTGGAGCGGCTGGCACATTGGGCGCCCGAATCAGAAATTGCGTCCGGGCACCCCTCAATTTTATATTTAAAAAAAAGCCTCGTGGGATGACAGAAGATATATCGACAAGAGATGAAGGCGTAATGAGATGCGAGAAACGTGGACAAAGACAAAAATGTAGTGAGATGACAGAAGAGAGTTGCATACCAAGTGGGGATGAGAGAAATCAATTGCTATGTTTCATTCACTTGTGAGGAATTGAATTTGCATTTGACCTGATATTTGATGCAATTCTTTTTTTTTGCGTCCAATAAATCTGGGGAAACGCTGAGCCGTTTGGGACCCTAAACGCCTTTTGCTTGTGTTTCTTCCGACTAGCACAGACACTGCCTCAATGCCCTGCAGCGCTCACAACGTGGTCAAGAACAGACACACTGTGCACCGGTCAATTGTGCGCACACCAACGCAAGAAGAGATCCCTCCCTCTATTGAAAGCGGACACCCGCGTTGTTGTTCTCACTCTTCCAGGTCAGCAGGTGGGGTTATCCAGACTTAATGCACCCTGTTATCCGTACTTTCTGAATGCTACCTCCCTTCTGGTCCATCCTCTGGTCCATCCCCGCAGGTCGTGTGATGTAATTTGAACATCCTTGGCCAGTCTGGGTGGGTGTGAGCAGGCAAGCACAGATGCGGAAGCATAGAAGTACAGTACAGCAACACACGTTTTTTGTATGTCCAATGCTGCGCGCAATGTAGCACAGAAGCAGCCTATTTGCAAGTGAGGCAGTCATCCATCCGATAACTATTCAGGTTCACGTTTCCTCGGCTTCAGATGACTTATACAATTGAGGGCCGCATTCCTCAGCCGGTTGTGCTGTCGCAAGTTCACAATCGTACTGGATACCATTGCAAACGATGCGCTTTGAGACTAACTGCAGCGTATATATATATGCTACTCTCACCGCCGGGTCGGCAGATGTTACAGCGCAGCTATTAAGAGGGTTCCGTGTGCTTTATGGGCCGGGTTCATAAATTAACATTGCACCGATCTGCCTTACGGCAATCATTCGCATTATGCTCATGCTACATATTGTATATATTACATATACACTTGCCCCAGGGCCAACAGCAATGACACACTATATATATACACGCATATTTTTATCAGCGTAAAATGTAGGGAGCACTTGAGGCTAACATCAAGCCGTTTCAACAAGAATCACACCGATCAAATCCGTAAATGATGATGAAAGCCCTTCATGGGAATCAGAATATGTATTTATACTGCAGGAGGAATCCGATGAGCAATGAAGAAGTTTTTTTCATAGATGTCCCGAGGAGAATGACAGTGCACGCTGCAAAACCAGAGGTAAGTTTCAAAAAACAACAACAACAACAACAAAAAACACAGAAACGTGTCAAAAACAGTCAGCCTTTTTTGCAATAATGCAAAAAACCACCAGCGATTGCTGCAAAACTGATATGTGGTGCTCTTTCTCTTCGGGCAACATCAAAGCAAATTTGAGCAAAATGTGTCCAACTGACAGCAGTAGTGATGCGGTGGTGCAGTGGACCGGTTTCATTGGTGACGAAACTCTGTTGAGGAGTCCTAAGAAGGACTAAACCTCTTTTGAGACATCTGACTAGTGTGGACATTTAAGTCGATATGTCCTGTATAGGGGTTACAGGGCTGCACATTTCGAACTACAGTACCTTCCTGATCTCGTCAAGGAGCATACACCATCATCACGTGATCTCCGGTCATCCTCGCAAGCAGCAGCAGCTTTTTGACTGCTCATCGAACGAAGGTGGTCACCCGCATCGCGCACTTTCAGATGTGCTTCTGCGCCCGTCTGGAACGCTCTTCCTTCCGATATCAGGAAATCACGGGAGCTATATGCTGCACTTTTAAATAATCTAGATATGAAAAAATACGAGTCCTTAGAACTGCTTTTTAGGTTTAGTTTGTTGTTCTTCATCCGCACCTCCGATTAGCAAGGTTGGCTACGTTCAGTGCGAAAAAAGTTCAACATATATTATGAGACCTCCTTTGCCAGTAGCAAGATATAGTGATAGTTTTTTTACCATTTTACCTGGCAACAAAACTGACACCTTCTTGGTTCTTTCGGTAAAGTCACGTGACTTTACCGAAAGAACCAAGAAGATTAATCCCTGCAGTCACGAAAGCTTTAAATCGAAAAACTGACACCTTTATACAAGGGATCATAGTTTGCATTAACCACAACACTTGCGGTCAAAATGCAAACAAAAAGGGTAAAAAAACGATTACTATATCTTGCTACTGGCAAAGGAGGTCTCATAATGTAAAGGCTTACCCCCAGCTCTCAATACTCTGATGATGCGTTGTCTTTGAGTTGTGCGCCTTTTGGCGTCATCTGGTCCAACACCATGTGAGACTGGGCTCTAGGAAAAGCTGTCTCGGGTGTGGACCAATCAATTTCAAGGACAGTGCACACATTATCAGAGTTGTCTTTTTGTTTGCATTTTGACCGCAGGTGTTGTGGTTAATGCAAACATGATCCCTTGTATAAAGGTGTCAGTTTTGTTACCAGGTAAAAGGGTAAAAACCTATTACTAGGAGTTCAACATACATGCATTTAACGTTTAAGCTTCTGTGCCACCAAAGTGTTGCATTATGTCTCTGAATAACACGAAATGCAAGCCCATAAATAGCAACGGGCAAAGGAGAGAAAAGGTAGCTCTTGGTGCATTCTAAATGGAACAATAGGCATGCAAATGCTTACGCGATTCATTTGTTCGGAGTCTGATGAATGGGCCATGAAAATTGTGAGAAATGTCGATGTTTTGGTATTTATTGAAACCATGTCCATGCGCCACTGCACTTCCCTCTTATCTGCTCAGTCAGCGCTGCGCTTACAATATCATAATCCTGAAAGATGTTTACAGTGCTCAATGCAATTCCATTGGCAGTCAATAATTGCTAATGGCATTTGCAATACATCGCTGTCATTCTAAGGTTTTCATGGGAAGTTTAATACAAAAGAATCAGCCTTTGGATATAGATTTTTTTCTTTTTTTATCAGGACGCGATTTTTTTCCACGAGCCGATGTTACGTGAGGAATTCAACGTTCATCTGCGTTGACAATGTCTATCAATGGGGCCGACTGAATACGTTAAAATCGGCTTGAAATAAAATTGCGTGCGGCTTTTAAAATGGCAGCCAAAAGAAATAAAAAGTACATGGTGCTTAAAAAAATATTCTTGGGTTTTTTCGGTAAAGTCACGTAGGTAAAAATTTAAAAATCACGACGTTTCGAAGGCAACACAAGCTTCCGTCTTCAGGTGGAACCGTCACAGCACGCTTGCTGTATCAAGTAAATGTTAACATGTATAGAGGACTATCGTTTTAAATGGAAAAATAACGAATAATACACTGTATAACGATAACAAATGTATGTTAATAGCTTCAAAAAGTCAGAGTCTCCACTTGTTCGCCACCATTGTCAACACGTTGCCTGGAATCTTCTCCAGGTGGTCTCCAGAGCCCGGAGAAAGCACATTTCTCGTGGTGTTGTTGCAAATTCTCGGAAATGTTCACATTTTTTTGAAGCACCCTTTATATTCACCAGATGTGGCACGTGCACTTATACTCCAACGGATTGGCGGTAGGGTTGATGGATCACATATAGAGCGTGTGAAACACCCGGCTTCAGAGAAAGAGGGCTTCGTGAAGTGACTGGAATGGAATCCAGGCGGCCGCCTGTGATTGAACTGGCCTCTCAGGTGTCGTGAGTTAATGGTCTCAGCCGGGTCACAAAATTACTATGCAAAAGAAAACACCGTCAAAATTTGATTCTGCACTTAAGTTGTGGATCATTTCCAGTCATGAGAATTAAAAATATCGGATTGACCGTCATTTGATGAACATCATTCCCAGCGGCCACGTGGTGGAGAAAGTCCTACCGTGTGGACAAGAGGTCACTTTGAAGGTATCTTAGAATCAGCTCTGTGATGTCTACCTCCGTGGGCCATTCCACAGCATGAAAGGTTGCACTGTCCCCTGTGGGAGATGCAAACTGATGCTTTCGTCACATTACGTGACGCCAAAAACACAATTGGTATTAAATGTGGGAAGCAGACACGCTTCAAAACGAAACAAAGTGCAGTGTAGGAAGTAGGTTACTCAGATAACCTACTAGAATCAC